CTAACGATGGTATAATTTAAATTTAGTTTAAAAAAAAATTAATTAACAATCAAACATCACGAATTCAAGACAACAGCATGGAATGGCAATCGGCAAATACGCAACAATGTTTGTTTAGAGATATCCTAAACAAATTTGTCCTCTTTATACGAGTGTAAATCATATAAATTATAGCTTATGAATACTTATACTGAAATTATAAATTCTTCTTGTCGAGATATAATTCAATTTGATGTGAAATGGAAAGCCATAGAATTTTAAAAAAATAAATAAATAAAATAAAATAAAGACCGAGACAATGAGAGAAAAGGAGAGGAGTAAAATAATACATAACACAAAATCAACATTTGGCATTGATTTAGCTAGATGATTTAGCTAAGCCCAGTAAGCAAACATTTATTTTAAAACAATTGATTTTATTTTTATTAAAAAAATAAAACAAGGTTCTCATCTTACACCAAATAAAAATTCTCAAATTGAATTGCACCTTTCATTAAAAAAGATAAATCCATATTTATCAAAACAATTCACTAGTTATTACATTTCCTAAAATTTCTTTAGCAATGTTAATAATGCATATGGGCAAAATTAAAAATAAAAAGCCGTAGAAATGATAAATGATGGAGTGAGTGTGGTGTTCAATCCTTTCTAAAAAATATACAACACAATAAGTTGTTTTGCAACGACCCTCTGATACCTCCGCCAATGCGACGTTCCAATTAGCAGCTAATTTTTTTTAATGGCACTCAATTTGAACGTGCGAAACGCGGAAATTATAACACAAATAAATTAATTTGGTAATGTGGTAACATTGTGGTGATTAATGACCGTTAATCGATAATTATTCAGAAATCGTGAGATGCGGTCTGGTGTGATGTGGGTTTCAGAAAACCATTTTCTTTATCGTGCCAACGTTTCAATCTTTATTGAGATCATCTTCAGGGCTCAAAGTGTGCACTCTCAACACGACACGCAAGAATGGCACAATTACACAAGACAAACACTTGAGCCCTGAAGATGATCTCAATAAAGATCGAAACGTTGGCACGATAAAGAAAATGTTTTTCTGAAACCTACATCACACCAGACCGCATCTCACGATTTCTGAATAACAAATAAATATTATAATAGTAAATACTTAATATTATTAAATTACTATAAAAATAATAGCAATTAAAATAATTAGTTTAATTATTTGGATGTTTGATATTATTTATGTACATAATTTAAAAAGGATTAAAAAAGAATAAAAAGCCATTCTGAAAGTTATAAATGTACTAATGACGAAATTCTCTACTTGTCAAAACAAACAAATAAATCAATAATGTTAGTTTTTAATAATGATAATTCTAGACAGCATGAGTTGGCAATTGTTGGATAGATAATTAAGACTTGTTCTGAACATGTATGCAAATTGTCGTTCGTAAAGAATATTATATTACTTAACTTGGTATATTTATTCTTCATAAAGGTCATCAAATAAATTAATGATGAGTTTTAACAAAACTTAAATTACTTTGTTCCCTTTAAGATAGGAGGAAATATGTTTTGTAAATCTATAAAAATGGAATTTTGTAAAAGGAATTGGTTAAAATTTATAAAAACATGTTATAGCTTAAATCAGTTTTTCATTTGATCCTAGGCATGTATTTTCAACATAGTGGATGTATTATTAACTAATAAATGATTCATTCCAAATGGATTTCAATAAACAATTTAAACTTTAAATGCCACATTATTATTAGTGGGGTTTTGCATAGTCTGATGATTGGGCAATTAAAGCTCAAAATCCACTGCAAAACCAGTTTGTGAGTAGAACATTCCTTTTCAACCACTGAATTGATATACTCACTCCATCATAACTGTTTTTTTTATCAAGTTATGTTTTTGCATAAAAATTTGGTTGATGAAATTTCTAAAGTTCTTTAAATTCTTCATGTGGGTTTCCAGTCTGTTCAGTTGTAATCAGAACTTGAAGATTCCATCTGTTTTTATTACTCAGCTCAATCTGCAACTACTGACTTTTGATCAAATTTAATTTCCAGTTTATTGTGGTGGACAACCATTTAACAGCCTTCTTATGAATCATGTGGAATTCTACAAAATATAGTTGACCTGAAAGAATTTTCACATCAGTCTGTGTAAATATTGGTTACTTGACTTCCTCTGAATAAGTAATTCCTGCTATACAGAAGGGCTTAACGTCCAACTACCCCCTGAATGTTGCAGACGAGGGGTCTTACTACTTTACATCTTTCAGGCAGTTGTCAATTTAAAAAGAAAAAAGGTTCTGCTGAAGATGTAGATGTATTAGTCAGGGTCGCGCCCTTTAAGAGCTGTTCCATTCTGTGCCTATAGCACACCGATCCGGTGAGTTTTAATTCATCAAGGAATTTGATTGCTAGGCCCGGTTTCAGTGGTTGAAATTCTTCTATGGTTACAGTGTACACCCAAAGCACTTCCTCCTGCGGGCAAGTTTAACGCCACAGTTTATTAATAGGTGTGTCTCCTCTGCTTCTTTACAGAAATCTCAGCTTTATAATACAGTACATTAAAAGGAATCTGTGAGGGTACAGTTAATCTGCAATCATTTGCCGATTTTTCGACTGTCTCTTATCTCAGACTTATCTGATATGTGATGTTGATTACTGTTTGCAATGAAAAAAAGGTTTTTAATTAAACAATTGTCTGGAATTCGAGATGACAGAATGAGTTAACACTTAATCATTTATCCTCAACACGTAATTGTAGAAAACTCAAGTGAATCAGCTTGGTCACCATTAGGAAAAGACTTTTAAAGTACCCTACTTTGGAATAACTTATATCTTAGTATTTCATTATTGCATAATAACAACAAACTGATAGGCAAAAATTGGAGTTTGAGACAGTGTGAGATGGTACTTATTATATGACAATATTCAGACTGAAATTTTTTTATGGAGGTCAATAAATACAAGGATTTTGTAATATGACCTTAACAGGAAACCAGAGATTTTGGTTGAATTTTCACTTTACAAATTTATTTATTTTGGGAAGGATTTATATAGATAAGTATGAAATTGAATAAATGTAAATTTATTACTTTACTGGAAATTATTGAGAAATAATTTTATTTTGCAATTTTATTTGTGTAAAGAAATAAAAGAGAGAAAAAAGCGAAGAGATGAAGCAAGCTGAGAAAAGCAAATAACCGTGGGCTATCTTATCAATTTCGTGTTGCCAGATTTTGTTGTAACACTCTTCTCACCCTCAGGAATGTTTTATTGTACAAGCTATTGCTCTTTTCTTTCTTGTAGTTTAAAAAACAGTACTGTTTGATAGAGTTAAGTCATGCCTCGATAGAAAGAGTTTTATTAATGTATGCTATTTTTTAACTGTTTGAAAAACATTTATTCAGAATGTGTTAGTCATTTCCTTTTTCATCTGTCTTTTTTCATTTTAAAACCAAATTGCAAACATGAGAAAATTTAAAAATGACTAAAAGCAAACATTTTTCATTTCACTTAAATGTATAATTGGTACAGAAACATTTTGTATAATACGGTTCGAAAATATAGTTTTTGTGGAGCATTAATGATCAGGTATTTTGGCTTTGCCCAATCCAAACTGTACTCCCAATTTTTAACTGCACTTTTATTCAAAAATTTTGAAATCTGTGTGGTGACAAACCAACAATTTGGTACTTTCTGATTATTTTGGCCTGCATACTGCCATTGTTGTTTTGGTGAGTCAGATCCATGTCGAATTGTTGCCATTTTCAGAGGTGAGTTTTAACCAAAATTATTTACCCAGAGAGAACCAAAACGCACCTGACAAGCCAAAACTAGTTTTCCAGTCTAAAATCAAAGCAATTGAATACTGTGCCAGGGAAATAAAAGAATTAGGAATACATTCCCGGAAGATAGCCATCTTCTCTGACAGTCAGACAGCACTAAAGGCCCTAGCCTCATGCGAGGAGAAGGCCAAGTGTTTGGAACTGCATGAAGGCCCTGAAGTCAGTAACACTAATGGCCTGACCCTGGCATGGGTCCCCTAGTCATTTGGGGCATAGAGGCAATGAAAAGGTTGACATGTTGGCTATAGAAGGTACCAACATGTACTTTCTAGGTCCTGAACCCTACTGTAGCTTAGCATCGCCACAAAAGAGGATACATCTTAAGATGGATCCTTAATGAGCCCAAAACCTGATGGAACAAAACCACAGGTATGAGGTATGCAAAGAGATTCATATAAGTATCATCTGCAAAACTTGCAAAGGAATTACTGGAAGGCAACTACAACTGAACCAGGATTTGGGTTGAACTCTGATAGGGCACTGCCACTTAAGAAAGCATATACACTAGAAGTACAGACAGATCACTCAGTGTATATACTGCCAGGAAGAGGAGGAGACCGCTGAACACATTTTATGTTTAACTGAAGGTCTACGTAGGTGCAAGTCCTTGCAACTAGGACAGAAAAGACCACAAGCAAAAACCTACACTAAGGAATGCTGGCAAGACTATGGAGGTTGATTAACAACCTAAAGCTGGGGCAGTGAGTTATTATAAACAACAGGGGAGCACAATTTATCCACTCAGGTCAAGGTGCAGACCTTGTGGCCGCCTCTTTTATCCCTATCCCTTTCCCTTCGTCGTAAACATGGGTAATCTCCTGCTATGTTTGTATGCCAGACCTGTTGTATTCTTGTTCTGCATTATTAGGCTAATCTTAATTTTCACACAACAGCTCAGACTAGTGGGACTCTAATGTAATATATTTAATTTAGTAAATAAATAAAATATACATTGTTTGAAAAAACGTGTTTTTTAGTTATCTCTGTCTGTGGAAAAAAGTGCGTAATAAGATTAAAATTAACTTTTTAACAACCTATAGATAAATAAGAATAACAATATTATCAATGATAATTTAGTAAACTATTAATTTAGATAGTTTTAATATAAAAACCTAGCCAATCGTGAAAAGAAGAAAATGAAATATTCTTAATTTTTCTTTTTCAGTAGTGTCAAGTCAGTTTGGAGGCCAGAATATGGAGCATACATGGTCGAAGGGACACCAGGGAAACCGTACGGTTGCCTCCTGGCCCATTTCAACATCGTCGAGGCTAACATGCGTTATAGACGAGAGGAGGCACAGCAGCTGCTCAAAGAAGATGAGAGGCTCATCACTGTCACCAGTTATCCAAGGTATGTCAAAGGATCGTTGACAAAATGAAATATTTAATATTACAAATCAATGCTTATTTGTGCGTATAATTTTACAATTATGAGTGTCTTTTGATAATATAGTTTCCTTTAAAAGTGGGGAAAGGGTAAATCAAAATTTATTGTGTTAAAATAGTTCAAGTTTACATATCTAACTTTGTACTATATCTTAAGATTATTATATATTTTGTGCTTATAAGTAAACAACATACTTTATTCCAAGATCTTTGTATAATATTAATTTAAAAATTAAAATAGTTTCACTGAGTTCTGGTTTGGCCATCTGTGCCAGCCTGAAATTTTAATTTCCTTTATCCACATATTATTTGTGTTATTTTTTAATTTTATTATTTGTTGCTTGCTAGGCTAATTTTTCTAATGCAAGTATTTGGGGTGCAGGCTGGGCTGCGGTGTCTTTACAAATCCTGTTCATATGCCGAACCCAAATGAAGGCTCATCGAGATCGCTCTTCATCCCGGATGAAGTCATCTACCCAGGCCATCCGAGATTCAAAACTTTAACGCGCAATATCAGAATGAGACGAGGGGAGAAAGTAGCTATCAACCTGCCAGGTCCGTATACCTGTTTTTATTTATTTTTTAATCTATGTTAAAACGTAATGGATAAGATTAGATTTTTTAAATTTAGATTAAAATAAAAAATTATCTTGTTTTCAATCTGTAAAAAGGTTCTAAATTAAGCCTTAGTTTTCCTTCTAAATAGATAAGATATGGTGGGTACGCTGTGACTTATAAAAACAATTTACTTTATTATAGTATACAGGGATGACAAAACAATGACTCCTTTTAAGGATGACTTAAATGCTTTGGGCGACAATGGTGAGAGCGCCAAAGCTGCTTTACCCGACCATGTGTACATGGATGCAATGGCATTCGGTATGGGGTGCTGCTGCCTTCAGTTGACGTTTCAGGCATGTAAATCATTTTTTTAAAAATCAATACTAAATTTAAAAGTTTTGAAAGAAAAAACTTAATACTTGTTTTGGATTTTTTTAGGCGTGCAATATTGATGAAGCTAGGACGCTGTATGACCAGTTAACACCTTTATGCCCGATATTGGTGTGTTAAATTTTGTCTCGATTTATCTAATTGTTTAATTACAAAAAAGGGTTCTTTTCATTTCAGCTCGCTTTGACAGCTGCTTCGCCAATTCACCGAGGCGTTTTGACCGATGTTGACTGCAGATGGTCTGTGATATCCAGCTCTGTCGATTGCCGGACAAGGGAAGAAAGGGGTCTGGAGCCGCTTAAAAATAACAGATTCGTCATTCCGAAATCGAGATACGATAGCATTGACAGCTATCTCAGCCCACAAGGAGAAGTGTAAGTGGCTTAACCAGTTATTAAAAGCCAATTATTTTAAAATCTTAGTAATTTTCTATATTAATTTCACATGCTATGCTGGTAATAATGGAGCTTTCATTAATTTGCAAGGTCAAAACATTCAGACTATTTTTTTTTTTTTTTAATTCTTGTCACCCTGGTTAGCATACAAGCATTATTTCATTTTTTAACGTAATTTTAACTTATCAAATTAAACTAATTATCCCATTAAATTTCCAGACTTTTTTAAAATTATTATTCGAGGATTTTTTTTGTTCTAGTTATAATGATGTTCCAATTGTCCATGATGAAGAAATCTACGAGGCGCTTCGTAAGGCCAATATCGACCACCTACTAGCCCAACACATTGCGCATCTCTTTATTCGAGACACCGTTTCTCTTTTTAGTGAGAAAGTACACCAAGCTGCAACAGATACTGACCATTTCGAGGTCAGTTTTTTTTTTTTTTTTTTTTTTTTTTTTTTTTTTTTTTTTTTTTTTTTTTTTTTTTTATTAGAAAATAAAATATGAAAAGGTTCACGAAATAGAAAATGAAAGAAGTTTACTTGCTGAATGGAAATGACAAAAGAAATGATATTGTAGGATTTGAATAAAATTAGAACAGCACTTGACTTTTTAAAGACTTGATTGATTATTAGTTTGGACAATCAATAACCCGGTTAATGTCCTATATTCAGAACAGTATTTTACTGTCATACGATGTTTTTTATATTTAGATTTATCGTATAACGCAGAAGGTAAAGGGAATTTTAGAAAATAAGATATGAAAAATGATTGTTACGAGGAAATTGTAGTCGACTGGTGTAAAATACACAAACAAACAATTTATTACTGGTTGTTTTGTACAGTTTGTCATGTAGACAATCAAATACAAAATAAAATTGTCAGGTACTTGTAAACAAATTCAATGAAAAATATGAACCATTTTGTGGCTTGCAGTCACAAGTTCAATTCCCACTGTCACTCCTCGCCGTTTTTTCCCCCATCCAACCCTTCCCCCAACTATATATGATGAAATAATCAATGGAATCATACTCTTATATATATAATAATCGCCTTATATTTTATATATATATAAGAGAATCAAAATTTGTGCTCTTGAGCCAAGCAAACCACTGATGGACGCTTTCTTCTTTAGCCACCGTGCATATCACAAATTTCCCTAGCACTCTGAAAATTTTAATTAAAATTTAAAAAACACTAAATAACCAAAAATTGTTCTTTTTTTCTCTATTTTAATTTAGCAAAACACCTCGTAAAATATGAGATTTTGAATGAAACTGGGAATAAAAACACCTTAGTTAATCCATTTTTAGAATGGGTAAGCAATAATGACCAAATAAATAATTGCTTCAAAACCTAACAGGAAAAAATTGAATTATTGAAAAATGGGCTTATTTTATAATTCAATATATTTTGAAATAGATAAAGACCAGAATTACCTCATTCAGGTTTCGGCAGTTGAGGTCTTTTTTCTTTTTTTTTAAATCAATTAATTAAAATTTATTTTTCCTTTATTATTAACTTATTTTTGAGAGGGATGGATATGTGAAAAAAAGGGCCAGGTCAATCCTACCACTGGGTCTACGAGCAGTTTATTTCATAAACAACTCAGCTAACACGATCCCCTTTAATTAAATTAATAGAAAATTATATAAATAGACGTTTATATTAGTTTGTTTGTTTTTAGAATATACAATCAACTAATTGGCAAACGATGAGGTTTAAAGTTCCTCCTCCGAACAGTAATATTGGTTGGAGGGTCGAGTTCAGGCCGTGTGAAGTCCAGCTGACAGATTTTGAAAACGCCGCATTCGTCATTTTTGTTGTCTTGCTGACAAGAGTGATCCTTTCATACAAATTGAACCTCCTCATACCCATCAGCAAGGTATGACCGGCCGAATTGCACTTCACGCTTGGAGTAAATTCATAGATTTTAATTTTTTTCTACAGGTTGACGAGAATATGACTAAAGCCCAAAAGAGGTCAGCTGTCAGAGAAGAAGTCTTTTGGTTTAGAAAGGACATTACTTCAAACGGCCATCAAACGAATACCAATACGGACATCAATGACCAATACTGTGCAATGACAATAAACCAAATTATCAATGGGAAAGTACGTTGACCTGGTGTTTAAATGTTTATAAAAATAATTCTAGTTTTTTAAATGATCATTTTTATTTTCAAGGAAGGAGTATTCCCTGGTCTAATTCCTTTAATTAATTCATATCTGAACGGTATGGAAGTAGATACAGATACGCATTGCTCGATTCAACAGTATTTGAAACTTATACAACGAAGAGCGTCTGGGCAATTATTAACGACTGCCAGTTGGATTAGACAGTTCGTAAGACAGCATCCTTCTTATAAGTAAGCAAATTTCAATTAATAGAGAAAACTAAATTTTTATAAGAATATTTATTAGTTTATTTAGCATTTCTTCTAAACATAAGGAAATCTTATATTAATTTTTTGCCTAAATTTTTATCTTAATCTGGAAAATGATCAGATTTTAAAATGTGAAACAGCCCAGATATCTCAGGTTTAAATGCCTCCTTTCTTGGTTAAGCCATTTGGCCATGGCATATCCAACTAAATCAGGCATAAAATTTGCTGTTATTGGCATACTTTTTTGGCAGGGGTCTCTGACAATTCATGTTGCCATTTTTGAGGTAAGGCAGTAGCTCATTTTATTTTTTATATAAAAACAAAAAAAAACTTTGGTTTATGATAAAATTTAATTAGTATTAAGATGGCTCCAGACATGCCGAATGTCAAGCAAAGGTTCGCCAAATCCCGACTAGTGGGGATGTGTGCTCAGTTATTCACCAAGCAACAATATTCGGTGCTCGCCTTGTTCAGCTAATTGTTGGTTTTCTTGTCCTCTTCAAAATGCACAAATGTTCATGAAGTAGCCATACTCAAAACATCCATACATTCCAATATGTGGACAGGAGAGTAAAGCAACATATCTATGATTGCAAAAAACCCAAGCAAAATCCTACAGCACTCGCTACCCACCATTTTGAACACCAACACAATTTCAACTTCAAAAATCCAAAAATATTACATACAGAACAAAACAAACATAAACGTAATTTCTTAGAATGGTTTATATCAACAGAGATAAACACAGCATCAATTACAGAACAGATACATGTAAACTCAGTCGCAGCTATGCCAATATCATTAATCAAATTCAATATAGATAACATACATATATCATTAGGTTACATTCCACACATCAAACATTTTTCATAGTCTAATTGTCCAACAATTTAACTTGCCTTTTCCTATTTATCCCTTTCTATATAATCCTGAAAGGATAATCTGGTCGAACCATTACCAACACATTGTTTCCCTTTGACGGCTCTTTTCACCTCAAAGAAGCCGACGCCTTATACAAAAATGTCTATTCTGTACCGGCTTCCTTCCCCACCCCTTCAAAATCCAACGTATATAAACACAAAATAGCAAAATCTCACTGGCACTCTCGACACGACATGCAAGAATGGCACAATTACACAGAAGACAAACACTTTGAGGAGTAGAAATACATTGATTGAATATATAAAATATATTTTACATTGTATAAATTCACTTTTCCCCATCCAAAATGTAATTGTTATATGTACACAATGTTTGTAAATCCCAGGCCCTGAAGATGATCTCAATAAAAATCGGAACGTTGGCACGATAAAGAAAATGTTTTTCTGAAACCTACATCACACCAGACCGCAACTCGTGATTTCTGAATAATTATCGATTAACGGTCACTAATCACCACACACATACACGTTATTATTTACATTTATTTACTGCTATTCATTTAATAATGATTAATGATTCCTAACTAGTATAGATGTATTAATGAAAGAACAACATAGTGTTATGTCTGTTGGCCCAACTTTACAGTCTTGGAGTTCCTCGATCTAAACCAAAACTTTGGAATGCTTCTCTTCCGAATCACAAAAATTGGAGTTTTTTGATGCATGGAAACAGATCGAAAGTAAGATGGTGCAACAATACTCTGTGACTAAGTTTATAGCCACTGAACGAAACAGTAACCGCTGCATCACTGTTCATCACGGTTGGCAGTAAATTTAGGACTCGCACGACACTTGGCAAATGGCAAGACGAGCAACTCGAGATTTGGCAAATATCCGATGGCAATTGGCATTCAGTAAATACTACATGTCTGGAGCCACCTTTAAGCCAGGAACACACTTACCCGATGCTACTCCTTGCGACGCTACCCGACGCCTTGCCACGTTTTGGTGGGGTGTGCACATCTATCCGACGCAAGCACACTTCGCGTACAGTCCACAGCGTTTATCACAATAATCACTATCACAATCGCAACGCATCTTTTATTCTTAATGCACTATTTTGAGCAAAACTTTGTAATAAATTGTTAGTTAAATTTTATGAGCACAACCATCTAATAAATTGTTTGTTAAACTTAATTGTTTTAAATAAAGTTACTCCTAACCATCATAATTAAACAATGTTTATAAAAACTTATGCATTTTTGATCTCGTTTAATTTGGTTTACATTAAAATAACATGTTGTAATTAATATAACGACAAAATTACATGTACTTAGTTTGAAATAAACTACAAAAAATATGAGTGTCCTGTTCTGATGCTACCCGACATTACAAAATGGTGTAATTTTACGAGCAAAACTATGAAATAAATTGTTAATTAAATTTTATGAGCAAAACCGTATAATAAATTGATTCGATTTTAGTATATGTACCGCTGAAGCGAGTACAATAAATTGTTAGTTAAATTCATTATATGAAAAAATCGTATTCCGGTGTTTTGATTAATTTTCTACCAAACCATTAAAATATTTTTTTAAAATAAAAACTAATTACTTTTTAATCACAGTTAATTTGGTTTATATTAAAATAAGTATGTTGTAATTAATATAATGACAATAATACATGTAGTTTGAATAAAAATAAGAGTGTCCGGTTCTTTTGTCTTCGCCTGTACTCGATGCGACCCGATGAAAATCTGGACAGTGGGGATCACAGAGCGTCGGGTAGGTTAGCGTGGCATAGCATCGGGTAGATGTGCACAGGGGTAATGCAACCTTATGGAAAATCGGAGTTTGGATTTGCGTCGGGTAGCATCGGGTAAGTGTGTTTCTGGCTTTAGGCTAGATTATAGTTTGCATGCATTTGGGGCTGAAATGAGCTAACTGTTCAGCCCCCATTAGAGCCTAACACCATTGGTTGAGAAGCGATGATCTCCTGGGCATCTCAAGGGATACTAGCAACCCAGTCACACAACAGGGTGGGTGAACTCCTTGATGTATAGATCTAGAGTCAGCACTTCGGGGAATAATAACCCGTCGGGGTAAAAGTCCAGTGTAATTAAATAAAAAATTTGGCGAATTTTCTATTCCCATGCCTTTCCGGTACGACAAAAGCAGGATTGTCCAGACCAGTCATTTAATCCGTATTTTCCAGGCAGGACTCCATAGTCAACGAACAAGTGAATTACGACCTTTTAAAGACAATAGACGGTATTCAAGCAGGCACTGTCCCTTGTCCAGAGTTAATCGGGCAGAGTCTCGTCTCCAAGACAAAAGAATCCATCCCGCTTGCCATGGAAAAGGTATATTGCAACAAGTATTAATTTTTTAGTTCTAGTTTTGAGGGTCCAAGAGAATTCCGTACACTCAAAAAAAAAAAAAAAAAAAATTACACTCATTGAAATATTGTTACTACCACCACACTGTAAAACTGTGTTCCACGTCTTTCTTTTTTCTGGTAATAAATGGCTGGATATATTCCTTTAGTATGTTTAAACATAACGCTATTTTGTTAATCATATTTTTAGCTTGTTTAACAACAAAAATGTTTTTAAAAAATTGTACAGTATAAAGTGGATTTTGAATTATTTCTGAAATGGGTGCTTACTGTCTAACTTAATTTAAATGTGATTGTATTTAAGGAACAAATAACTTTTTTTCATGAATTTTACAAACTTAATCGAATTTATATATATTGAAATGCTGAAATTTATTGTTAGATTAAAAATATGACATTTGTTTTGTTTACTCATTTTTATTTATTTTTATATTACATACAAAGTATATACTTAAAGGAAATGTAGTTTTAGAAATAAATATATATGTATAATTACAGGCAATAATTGCTAATGTGCCTTATTCCGACAGAAGAAATATATCATAAATTAAATTATTATTAGAAAAGATCAAATAGTTTTTTTCCAAATAGTCATAAGATGAATTTTCAGTTTGGTTAAATTTTAAATGCTCAACATATTTTCAGTTGAATTGGTTTTATAAAGAATTTTTGAACATAGTTACTGTAATATTATAAAGGAAGGAAGAAAAAGTATGAAAGAAAAAGAAAAGTGTTAATTTTGTCTCTATGTCTCACCCCACCTCTCATATAAATATATTATATATAATATATGCGCAGAATAGTTTTAAACATTAGCCACATTCCGATTTCATAACTTTATATAAGCTGCGTTGTTCATTTAGAATTTTTTTACCTTCTACATTCCTGAATCTTGTACAAACTGATGTATTTTTTTTTTAATACTGCAATGAAATTATAAATGTTGTAATAAATCTACAGAGTTGTTGCACATTAAGTCCTTACACAACACTATCGACTAACCGGCACACGAAGATTAATTTCACTTTGAAACAATTGCAAAATTACCAAATTAGAATGAAAAAATTATATAAATTTTATTACCAAAAAACAGCATACTTAAATCACTAATATCTATGTAATATATATAAAAAAATCGCTTACAAAATGCTATGTTCCTGTGAAATTTTTTAAAATTATTTTTCGCTTTATTAATTATGCATTTGTTATTATATTATTGAATAATTTCCTTAATTAGAACAATATTTTTTTTTAAATTTGGTTACCTTTGTACATTTATATTTTCAAAAAATGCCTGATATATTTTGTTATCTTGCTTTATAAGATTTAGCATTGATAAACGTTTAATTTGTTAATTATTAAAAATTGATGTATGTTTTATGTACAAAAAAAAATATGCTTTGTTTTCCTTATATTTGTTTCAAATATAATTACCTCCATTGTATACTCATCTTTCAACATGGACAAAATGCTACATCATACTTATGTTTAATTGTTTAAAAGAAATATTGATGTTGATGAACATACTGTTAAAATATTAATTCTATAAATACTGTTCTTTTTTTATTTAATAACTTCCTGACTTCTGTCATCCATTTTTTATTACAATTGCTTCTTAAAAGTCGCACTTTAATAAATCCAACAGGTCAAAGAAAAACGTATTACGTGTATGTTGGTTAAAGAAGTTTCTGGTCCTAATTTAATGAACATTGGCCAAACATATTTACAATCAACTTAATAAATTAATTTGTCACGAGAAAGACTTATTTGCTTTTTTTTCTTTTTCAGGAGTCTCGTAAATTCTTCTCTCAAAAAGTGGTTGTTTGAAAAGAGAATCATGGCCATATCAAATATAAACATATCGGTGATTTTTTAATAAATACTAAATTTAAAAAATATGATTTTATTTTCTGTAACTTTTCGTATATCAAAATAGTGTAAAGGTTTTTTATTACTTTGGCACAAAAGAGTTAAGAAGATTTCACTCATTTTGATATTGTTTTCAAGATAAGTCAAAATGTAGAAAGAAGAAAAGTTCCAGGTTATAATTTCTGACTCCTGAATTATTAGAAATATTTGCGCATATGCTTCTGGAAGTACCGACGGACTGTGTAAGTAGATAATGAAAACAAAGCAATGTTCTGACTTGTATTTTTAATTTGTATAAAGTTGGCAAATATAATCAAAATTATTGATAAGATACAAATCTATAGTGTTGTTTTTAAGCAATATAGATTTAAATTTTCAAGATTTAGAAAATTTAAAACAAAAACAAATAGAAAACAATGGGAGGCTATGGACGTGGTAGCACTGATTTTAATCAAACTTTTTTTCAGTGATACTAGTTCAAAAATGTTATAATCTTGTCCGAGCATTTTTGCCAATAAGCACTAGGTCCACAGAACAAAAATAATTTAAAGTAATTAAACTGCAGGTACTCAACACAGAGGATTTGTAGTTGTTAATCAGTACGCCAAAGATACATTCAGCAGCTAGCAGTATCAAATAATTAATTGAAATAATCAATTCAAATTAAATAAATAAAAAATAAACTGCATGGATTGTGAATAACTTACAATTCAGATTTATTAAGCAAGTTTAACAACCCATGCCCTCTCTGTTTATCTTACGAGTTAGGCACTTATAAGCCCCACTCCTGACTCCAAGAGTGCTGATCTCAGCATACTTATTAAATTTTATCCAAAATTCAATATATATATATATATTTATTAATTAATTAATGTTTTTTGTTGAGGTGAAAAAGTCAGTGTCACGAGCGGGATTCGAACCCACGATCTTCGGTTTTTTCATCTCAACTAAAAACCTGAATTAATTGAAATTAATTGGTCACTCGAATACCAACTCCTCATCTCAACTTATAATCTTTCGAATTTTCCCTATTTTTGCCATATTTTCAACTATCGTGGAATCAGGATTTGATTTTTGGTGATTTATGTCAGGGCCACAAGGGCCAAAGGTAATGGGTTCGAATACTGCTTAGATAAAAAGTATAATTAATTAAAGTAGATCAATTTTTTTTTAATTATTCATTTATTTTATTTTCATTTATTTATTTTTTTATTTAACTCAGTCACAAAATAATTATGAATTGTATGTCAATTTCAAACCTCGAATTTGCTCGCTTGCAGATCGATTTTTTTTGTACTATTGCAAAATAGGTTAAAATATATTTTTTTTAGAAAGAAACAAATGTGATATTCGTTTGCTGGGCCCCCAAAAAACTGTGAATATTTTGAAGTATTGTAGAATCAGGATTGGATTTTTGGTGATTTATGTCAGGGCCACAAGGTAATGGGTTCGAATACTGCTTAGATAAAAAATATAATTAATTAAAGTAGGTAATTTTTTTAAATTATTCATTTATTTATTTTTTTATTTAACTCAGTCACAAAATAATTATGAATTGTTTGTCAATAGATACCTCGAATTTGCTCACTTGCAGATCGATTTTTTTTGTATTATTGCAAAATAGGTTAAAACATATTTTTTTAGAAAGAAACAAATGTGATATTCGTTTGCTGGGCCACCAAAAAACCTTGAATATTTTGAAGTATTGTAGAATCAGGATTGGATTTTTGGTGATTTATTGTCAGGGCCACAAGGGCCAAAGGTAATGGGTTCGAATACTGCTTAGATAAAAAAATATAATTAATTAAAGTAGGTCAATTTTTTTTAATTATTCATTTAATTTGTTTTCATTTATTTATTTTTTTATTTAACTCAGTGACAAAATAATTATGAATTGTATTCAATAGATACCTTGAATTTGCTCGTCTGCAGATTGATTTTTTTGTATTCTTGCAAAGTAGGTTAAAATATATTTTTTTAGAAAGAAACAAATGTGATTTTCGTTTTCCGCACCCCCAAAAAACCGTGAATACAAATTTTTAGAAAAATTAAATAATAAAGCAGGATATTTTTTTAATCGCTAGAATGGCGATAACTGTAAAACGGCTCAACTGATCCACCCAAAACATTACGTGGATTTAAAATCTACTGTTTTACACGTATTGACTTAAAATTGGCGGCCGTTAATAGGATTAGAATTGGAGGTATAAAAACAAGGCTTGGGTTTTTTAATTCGTCCAAATTTTTTTCAATTATTATTATTTAAAAAAACAAATGTTATTGATTTAGGCTCGAAGAAGAAATGCACCTCTCCAACGGTTGTATTACGGACACGGGATCAAATTAAAAAGAGTTTTGAACTTTTAAATGGAACACCAGACATTTTTACATGAGTAAATAAAAAGCTCCCGGCTGATTCAAACCGAAATTTATATTTTTTTGTTTGCTGTAACCTTTTAAGAGCTTTAAAAGGCGCTTAACACAACTACAGAATGTGTTTTTCAAAAATAATTTTTTTCTTATATACTGGGAGAGTAATTTTGTTTTTTGTTCTTTCGATCGTGACTTCGATCCACCCGAACACCAACTCCTCATCTCAACTTACAACCTTTCGAATTTTCCCTCTTTTTGCCGTATATTCAAGAATTGTGGGATCAGGATTTGATTGTTGGTGATTTATGTAGTGGCGGAGGGTCTGGCATCCAGGCATACTTTTTAAACTTAAGCACTTCCCACCCTCTCATTATTACCTATTATTGAAATCCTACCTAACTGATCGCTTCAGAGTGAGGTGCTGCAATGAATTCTCGGAAGTCAAACAGATACAGGCCGGCGTACCGCAAGGGAGAATCCTTGGTCCTATGCTTTATATCATTTACATTACTGACCTACCTATCCTACTCTATTATCACCACCTACGGGTACGACACCGCAATCCTATCCTCTACCTCTAGCTGGAATCCTGTCCAAGCTACCTCCAACATCCAGGAGCACTTTGAGCTTATCGAATACCAGTGTAAAAAATGGAGTACAAGACTGAACGAAGAAAAATGCACTCGGTGTACTTTTACACTGAAAAAGCAGTCTTGCCCTCCATTGTACATCAACAACAAAGAGATAGCAGTTTCCACTCAAGTAAATTGCAGGGGACTATATCTCGACAGGAGATTGAGGTGGCTTCTCCACGCAAGACTTAAAAAACAACAACTTAATACAAGACTTGTACTCTAGGAAGACTTCTAAGACCGAAATCGACTTTGACAATTAAGACAAATCTACAAGACTTTACTAAGACCAATATGGACATACGGAGTAGAACTGTGGGGTACTGTCTAGCCTTCCAATATCCAGCGGATCAATCCTTCCAATTGAAAGTCCTTAGACAAATAATCAAAGCACCTTATTATGGCACTAACCTCACTATCCACAAAGACCTCGACATTTCTTTTGTCAACGAACTGGTCCGGTCCAGATTACAAACCTTCCACACCAACCTTTCGAACCATCCTAACCATACTGCTCGAGCCCTCTCCACTCACTCCCATCCTGACAACCCGCCATGTCGCATCAACCTCCTTGACATCTAATCATACACATTGAGTGCCGGCAATGGTTTGCTCCTAAAAGCATGTACTCTACCGGTGCAGTGCTAGTATTGTGCTGTGTGATACATTAATCATGTGTACATATTTGTGTAGTAGACGATCAGGTAATAAATAAATTTTAAAAAATATAGTGGCGGCCACAAGGGCCGAAGGTTCAAATATCACTTGTTTTCATCATAATTTTTCACCTCAACCAAAAACCTTAGATAAAAAGAATAATTAATTAGAATTTATTAGTTCATTTTATAAGCAAGAAAAGCAATGTTAATATGATTTTTATAGTGTAACATAGGATAAAACCTTACAATTAATTAAGTTTTTAGTTGAGATAAAAAAGTCAAAGGCACGAGCGGGATTCGAACCGACGATCTTCGGCTAGATACGCCGCTGCTCTACCACTTGAGCTATCGTGACCTTGATCCACTCGGACTTGGACCCCACCTTTTTGAATTTTCAGGGGTTGAGATGGGAAGTTAGTGTCCGAGTGAATCGAGGTCACGATAGCTCAAGTGGTAGAACAGCGGCGTATCTAGCCGAAGATCGTCGGTTCGAATCCCGCTCGTGCCATTGACTTTTTTATCTCAACTAAAAACCTTAATTAATTGTAAGATATTAATTGGTCAAGCGGACCACGAAACTAGTGAATTTAATAGGATAAAAGTTTGACGGTGAAAATTTTCGTTTTATTTATGTCGCTTTAGGTATCACTTCTTCTACCTGTAATTTGATCTTTTACTCATAGACCAGGACGATTTCTGATTCAACACCCCGCAGATACGGGGAAATCATAATTTATGTTAGTCCAGACAGACGCACTGAAGCCGCGTAAATTAATTTACCATCAAATTGTTGTCAGTAAAATCGTCTCTCATAATCGACGCCCTCCTAGTCCCTCTGAATTGTTATTTTTTAGTGTTCAACTTAATTTTGTGTAATAACCTATTTTTTCACTTGTCCTTAATTTTTAAAGAAATGGATCAATCTGCGTTTTGTAAGGTAAATAAACAGAAAGACGAACTATTAAATTTTTGTCGTTTTAATACTCGCAACCATACGACGGGTGATGTACTCAAGTTTCTTTTTAATGGGGAAATTATTACACTTCTTTTATGATACTCGGTGAATCGATTAATTTTGATTTGTAAGTAAATCTTATCGGTTTTCTTTTTCTTAAAAAATATTAAACTAAATTGATACCTCATACATAATTTGAGTCTCGTGGGAAGACGCTTTCATGTTAAACGTCGTCTTTTGCCACCAGCAATGTCATGAATGTTAAATGTGGGTAAAAGAGTTCTTTTGCCTGAGAGCTGAGAAGGCACAGAACACTTTTCTCTTCGGACAATAGCCTTTCTTTTTTTCTTTATGGGACTTTTACTCAGTGTCCGTCCTCATGACCTCCCTTGAACTACAATAATTGCAAT